GCCCGTCCAAGTCGATGGTCTTCGCAGCTTGGATGAACGATTTGCGCCACGAGTCAAACCCGTGGCTACGGCTTTTCCCGTCTAGGAGCGGAGCGTTGACCGTCACTCTTTTCTGGTGGCTACTGCTGTAGCCGCCGAGGTATTCTCCATTTTCTCGAATCACGGGTATCTCACCTGGGGCGTTTAACCCCATCGCTTCCCCGTAGTCCGGTCCTATGCCCGGGTCCACTCCGGCTGGTCCAACACAGTTCGCTCCCGATCTGCTGGCCCAGCCGCCTTCCAGCAGCTGCCGTGGTCCTTGCCCACTATCTCTCGTTTGCTGNGCGTCGCGGCCCTCCTGCCCCGGCGGGCGGATCTGTTCTCCGCTCGCAGCAGCGCGCTCTTCGTCTCCAGCAGAGCTCATCCCGATGTGGCTTCCCTCGAGGGGCAAACTCTAGAGTGTTTGCGGCCTACGCCATTTATCTATCGGGTGAGACTGTTTTGGTGATGTATAATAACTTCACGGGAGGTCGACGACCGTCTTTCACACGGACGAAAGAGGGAGTGCTCAAAGAGCGGCACCAACAGCAAGAAGGGGCCCCGTGAATCATCGCGGTGCCCCCTATCAAACGGTAATCTTACCAGTCTGCGTGACACAAAATCATCCAGCACATGTATCCAACAACAATGTTCGCAGACCCACGAACAAAACACGTAGAAGCTCGCTCGCGAAACGATAAGTTTTCTACCAGGGCGAAGAAGTATTACATGGTGGGATACAATACAACCAGCAAGACGTGGCGGCTATGGGACCCGGCGGAACCACTCAAAATTACAAACTCTGCTGAAGTGTCATTCCGCGAGGTAGATGCCCGCGACGTCGCTCGCCCCATGCACGGGTCTGACCCATTTCCCGAATAAGGCCAGATTTTCCAGCCCGGCATTATCACTGGGGCCGAGACAAGAGACGAGGAACCAGAACCGGCAGACACGAACGACGGACCGGACGACGAACCGCCCGCCGTGCGCAAAAACGGTCGCACGACAAAGCCGCGGGACCGTCTGAACCTGTTTACGACGGAGCAGGTGTTCGAAACAGAATACAGACTGGTGATCGGAGGTGAGATCGGGACCCTTGGTCAAGGGATACCTGGCCAACTAGGATACATGCCCGCCGATCCACCGAACTACCACGCAGCGGTCAACGGACCAGATGCCGTTGGATGAATGAAAAGCATGGAGGAGGAGAATCGCTCCTTACTAGACCACGACGTTTATGAGTGGGTCGATCCCGCGCGCGATGCTCAAATCATCCCGTCAAAATACTTCTACAATTGGAAGTACAACGAGGCCGGCATCGCTGTGCGACAAAAAATCGAGAATCGTAGTGCAAGGGTTACACGAAGCTGAGACGGGAACCGACAATGCTGCACTGGTAGCGTCTCTCCAAGCCGTCCATCTGATAGTTGCGCATGCTGCCAAGAATGGACTTATTCTTCGCCAAGCCAACATCAGGACGGCGTTCCTCCACGCGAGGATGGAACCGGGATCGAAACCAGTGTACGTCATTCCCCCGGAAGGATTCTCGTGCGACAGGGAGAGAGCCAGGCAAGTCTGGAAGCTCAGGGCGTGGCCTTACGGGTTGCGTTTGTCCCCAAAAGGCTGGTGAGGCACTCTGCACGATTTTCTCCTGAAGATCGGATTTGTTGAGAGCACCGCTGAACCGTGCTTGTACATCCTGGACGACGGAGATGTGCTCCTTCTCGTTGGTGTGGATGACATTCTGCTGACCGGAATGGACACNGGATCGAAACCAGTGTACGTCATTCCCCCGGAAGGATTCTCGTGCGACAGGGAGAGAGCCAGGCAAGTCTGGAAGCTCAGGGCGTGGCCTTACGGGTTGCGTTTGTCCCCAAAAGGCTGGTGAGGCACTCTGCACGATTTTCTCCTGAAGATCGGATTTGTTGAGAGCACCGCTGAACCGTGCTTGTACATCCTGGACGACGGAGATGTGCTCCTTCTCGTTGGTGTGGATGACATTCTGCTGACCGGAATGGACACCATCCAAGCAAACGGTGGTGGCGACCTCTTCCGTTGAAGCAGAGTTCGTGGCTTTGTCGAAGGGGTGCAACATCATCAAGTACTTCCGCCACCTGCTGGACACCATAAATCAGACTCAGGAAGAAGCGTCGCTGGTAGCTGATGGAGTCGTAGACGTGAAGCAAATATCGACGTCGCTTCAGAAAACGGATATTTTTACAAAAGGGCTAAACCCGTTGGAGTTTCTCCGCGCCCATGGCATGCTGTTAGGAGTTTGATCACCTCCCGTCTTCGTAATCAGACCTTATGTTTTGAGGGTTGGATGGTGTGTGTATATATATATGTTTAAAGAATATTCGGGAGATTTATGTTGAAGGAAAACATTCGCTGCTGATGCAACGCAGCTGAGAAAGGCAGAACAACTGATAATGAGTCAGAAGATAATATTGTTTCGAGAGGACATGGATATTGTTTCGAGAGAACAGTGAGAGAGAATTGGATCTGATGCATTGGTACTAGAATGACGCAGTTCTTGAGAGGACATGTTGTTGAAGTAATTGCAGTACAAGAACGACTCTATTCTACTGCATGGGTTTATGCAGTATTGTGAAGGCGTTGCCAAGTCTGTAACCGTCAGGTGAAGACAGCTTGGGCGTCTGTGTGGATAATAATATCACTCTGTGTGGTTGCCTACCTAACCTCGCATCACATGCTAGCTACTTTGTAGCCACAGCTGAAGGAATAACTGTACAGCGACTGCAGTGACAGTGCTGTTGCCTCAACAATTTCCAAGTTCATATGTTCACAAGGTCGTTCCCAAAGCCTGCTTCCCCCGCACCATGTATATTTGCTACTGTGACAAGGTCGCTCGACAAACCCGGTTCCCCAATTTCCTTCTTTCTCGCATGATTTCTCATGCAAGCATTCCGTGCTGTGGCCAGCGGAAAGGCCTTCATGCGCCGGAATCATTGGAGGTGGAAGATCCTTGGACAGGTGTCGCGGGGGCAGCGTACGACCTGCACAGTCGAGGGGATGACAGCGCGACCGGAACGGAGGGGGGGAGGGAGATAGGCCAGGAACAGGGGAGAGCAGAGAAAGGGGCGAGGCACGTTAGTCGCTGCTGGTTTGTGCAGTGACTAACGTGGGAGGTCGCGTTTGGTATACCATTCGGGGAAACATATTTACCTTGGAAATTTCGCGAAGGGATTCACACGCGTTCCGCAGCACACATTGGAGTGTACCACATTGTACCAGTTCGAGAGTGCGCAGGCCTAGGACTATTCTTTGCCGTAGAAGAGACCCGCTGTTGTTGCTGCGGCCGTACTACGGGCAACGATATCGAATTTGAAGGCGCCCAGCCACGGAAAGGAAGACCTCCACGTGGGAAGGGTTAAGAGGAGACCCTCAAGTTCTTGTGGTGGACCAGATTCCGATGTACACTTCAATTCGACACCATCATCTATCTGCTGGGAAGCGCTCCTCAGCGGTTACCTGCAAGGTCACACTCTCTTTCCTTTCACGAGCAAATTGCTCAGGTTCTGCCATGCGTTGGTTGTACATCATACATACATCAGCGTGCACGACGAGCTCTATATCCCGTTGTGTGATTCACAATCGTTACACAGCCATCACTGAGATGTGCTTCATGCTACTAATTCAGAGAGTGTGCAGGGCTTGCACGTGCGTAGTCGTGCATAAGACCGACTGTTCTTAGCTACAGACGCCACCGAGCTTGTAGGCGCCCACCCACGGAAAGGAACAAGTCCACGCGAGAGGGTAAAAGGACACCCTCAAGCTCTTTTGGTTGACCAGATTTCCGATGTACGCTATTCGACACCGCATATCTGTTGGGAAGCGCTCCTCAGCAACTACCTGCAAGGTCATGCTCTCTTAAGCTGGCGTCCAGCAAACTGATCAGGGGTCGAGTATGCGTCGATGATCGTTCATCTACCGCGGGAGAGCTTGCACGAAAAACTGTATGTCCCGTGGTGAGTCACAACCTCTACGCAGCCAACGTTTGAGGAATGCTGCCAAGCTCAGAGCATGCACGACCTGTACGTGCGTTAGTCGTGTAATCAGACAACGACTATCGAGCTTTAAAGGCGCCGACCCACGGAAAGAAACAAGTCCACGTGAGAAGGTTAAAGGAGACCCTCAAGCTCTATTTTCCAGATTTCCGATGTCGCTATTCCACACCGCTCATCTGTTCGGAAGCGCTCCTCACGGGCTACCTGCAAGGTGGCACCCTCTTAAGCCGGTGCCCAGCAAATTGATCAGGTCTGACATGCGTCAATTGTATATCTACTACCGCGAGAGAGCTTGCACGGAAAGCTGCATCTCCCGGTGTGATTCACAACTGCTATACACAGCCAACTTTGATATAGTCTATGCCTCATGCGACCAGCTTAGAGTATGGGCAGAGCTTGCACTTGTGCAGGTAGCTCGGAAGCCGGAGGTAGAGGCATATGCTCAATAGAACATCCCCCGCAAGTCTCTGCTGGGTCGACGACACAATTCCGGGGAGTCACCCTCCGTTATGTCGGGTTCTAATGAAGTAAGGCCTCCATTGGGTCTGCATGTCTGTAAGCAGACGGTTGTCTGTCGTAAAAATAGGGTCTAAAAAACGTCACCAATGTTGCAAAATACCTCAGCAAAATCGAATAAGCAAACATATGGGATAAAGTATTCAATCCGTGCTTTGGGGTTAGGGTTAGGCCTAGGGATAGGGTCTGCGTGCCCCCTCCCTATTCTTTTTCTAGATACTCTTAAAATCCCGCGTAGGCGGTCCAAAATACCCCTGGTACATAGGTTCCAAGTTTTTGAAAGACAAATAATGTCGAAAATTTTGACAAAAAAGTCGGTCCGTTTAAAACGGCCGATAGAAAACAGTATCACAAATCCAGTCACAAGTACGTCATCTATTTTCAACAATGCGCGAATGGTTTTGTCTCGCCTTTCGCAGTAGGATAGCTTGCGCAACGTCACTTCCACCTCCTTCTTTGCCCCGTTCCGTTTGTCGTTGGCGATGGCGGGGGGAGCCGTCGACCTGCTGGTGCAAGGTTGTGGTGGAAGAGAAAATATAACCACCTTGTGGGAAGGTAAAATCTTTGATGACACGGCGATTGTTCTTCAAAATGGTTGGACATTTGATTGAACGTTTCACCTCCGGACTACACACAATAACGCGAATTCCGAGATGCAAACAACTGATCACCACTTCCCCTCTGCCTGCTCCACCCCCTTGGGGTCCGAATGCATGTAACACACCGGTAGTCTGAGCAAGTTGCTGTCTGGAAGGCCAAGACAAGGGGCAAGTGAACGCACGCCGCAAAGAAAGGTGTTCAGAGGCCGGATTTCGCAGTTGATCGTACTGCTCTAGGATATGGCGGCCGCACGCCCCTGGGACCGGATCGGCCACCGGGATCACATTACCGCCTTATAGTCTAGGTAGATTAGTTTGAAAGTAAACCTGTGCACGGTATCGTCGTATGAGCGTGGGAAGCCGTCGCGTTGCGCCAGGTCTAAATACAGCAGATGCACCCCTCCCGCGCGTCATAAGCTGAAACGCATTCACGGCGTTTCGATTTTGACTTGAGAATCGTCTTTGTGAGGGAGGCATGCCGAAGGTACACCGTACATTGATGACAGTTACTCAGGACGCGTGCAACTATTACCGTTCGAACAGGTATTGCAGGCGATTAGCGGGCGGTTTGGGGTAGAACTACAGTTCACCTGGACATTGCGGGAGCACGCAAACTTGTCGTGAACGGATTTAAAATCGTTGATATGGCACCTGAATCAACATCGATCGATATCGGTGCAGAAATACAACAACTACTACTGTAAATCATGCCGTTCCAACTGTTTATTGCGCACCCCGGTGTGCCATGACACCGACGGGGTGCGAAATCAACGGTGGGTGCCATGACACGCACTGGTACGGTAGGCCTCTCCGTGCATTCAGCCGACCTCGTTGTCGCCAATCCGAATGAAGCTATGATGACGTGCATATAGTCTATATGTTGTGCAAAAGTGTGTGTTTTGCGCCCACCACTTGAGTCGCGCTGAAACGACACTAGCTGTGCCTCCTGACTCACCTTTTTATCAGGCCGTGTCGTGAGGTTGTCCTGAGAAGGTCGTTCGGGAAGGCGGTGTATGCGGCAGAAAGTTGTAGTCGGTGGAGGTTGAGATGGTTGTGTGAGGGGGCGGAGAGAGCGCGCCAAGCCTAGCGCCTCGATCTACCCACCAATATTTGAGATGATGGCTTGAAGGGTTGAATCGAGGTCTGTACCTCGGGACTGTCGGAAGACTGTTTGAACAACGAACGATACTACTACGGTACAGCACTGCAAAGCGACCCCGTAGTGGTCATGTATCGTGCATCGCTCTATAGGGACATCGTTACAATGACACATACACAATGGCACGACCCTCATGGAAAAAAAAATACTCTACCCTCCCCCCCAAAAAACACTGCTTGAGGACCCCGTGTATGTAAGTTTATTACTAGCATCGACCGCGCTAAACTCTAGTTCCTTGATCACACCCCGTCAGGGAATACAGGAGAGCAGCCTGACACGCTGCGGAATCCGCTTTCAGCATACACTTCTTTCTTCCCCTCGTTGCCTCGGCAAGGTTTTGCGTAGGCATGACCCATACCGAGGGGGGGGGTCTTTCTAGCGAGCAGGGTTTGGCTCACCCTCAAGGGATCGATACCCACCGCGAGGCGTGCGTAGTGGTGGAGTTGGGTCTGTTAGGATGATCCGAACTGGGGGTAGCTTGTCGCAAGACGTGTGTTTAATAGGGTGTCGGCAACTCGGCGAACTCGCGCCAAGGAGAAAATTCGTGTAGGGTTTGTTGCATAAACTTCTTCACATGAACTCACATGAACTCACATGAACTGAACGCACGCGTGCACGAACCACCATGAGGGGGCGACGCAGTATACAACGGGGGTACCTTGCACACCCTAGAAATAGATTCCACGTACCACACAATCCCACAACCACTTGGCATTGCTATAAGTGCATCTATCAGCCCCCCTGCTTGTGACCATGCCATGTCTTTTTCGATCCTAAATAACTCCAAAACACAAGAAAATAAAAATAAAATCAGAAACTCAATTCAACTCCAGAATAATAGCCTCACTGGCTAGACATCAATAACCATCCCCGATCACACCAGTTATACTTCTTCGAACTTCAGTGAACTAGTTGCCCCCCAGCCTAGAACATCATATATTGAGAAAAGNAAAACACAAGAAAATAAAAATAAAATCAGAAACTCAATTCAACTCCAGAATAATAGCCTCACTGGCTAGACATCAATAACCATCCCCGATCATACCAGTTATACTTCTTCGAACTTCAGTGAACTTGTTGCCCCCCAGCCTAGAACATCATCCATTGAGAAAAACCATAGGCAAAAATGTAAAATGTTGCCACCCCAGTTGTTTGATCACACACAAAGTAAATCCAAACACCAAGATATTAATCCATACTCATCACGTAGTTACGATGAAACTCAAAATCTCCCGCGTGAAGTGCTTTCGTGAGAAAATCAGCATATTGATACGCCGATTCCACGTGAAAAATCGATATCTCCTTCCTGCCTACCAGTTCCCTGATAAAGTGGTGCCTTACGTCGATGTGCTTCGAGTTACTGTTGCTTATCGGGTTTTGCGCCAACTGAATAGCCCCCTGGTTATCCTCGAACACCGGAATACACGACATGCCTGCTTCTGGTAACATGAAACGCCACACCTGCCTCAGAAACAACACTTCCTTCATCACATCCGCAAGAGAGACATACTCCGCCTCTGTCGTGCTCAACGTAACGCACTTCTGGGTCCTTGAAAACCAAGAAATACATCCCCCCCCACAGATCACCAATCCCCCTGACACAGACCTCCTATCGGCAGCCTTACTTGCATAGTCTGCGTCTGCGAACACCTCAATGCTCAACCCTGCTACACTACGCCTCCTGAATGTAATACCCAAGTCACTAGTCCGTACCACACACCCTAAAATACCAAGCCCTGCTCTCCAATGAATTTCTTTGGGAGAGGCATAGTACCGTGCTACCGCTCTTACTGCATTCGCGATATCTGGCCTCGTTTGCGTTGCCAGCCACATCAATGATCCTATCAGCTCACGAAAAGGCCATGATACCACTTCCTCATCCTGGTCAAACTCTGAAAGCTTCAACCCTACAGGAAGAGGAATTTCCTTCCCGTACTCTACCCCAAACTCCATCCCCAACTCTTCAGCATACGTCTGCTGCGAGATCTTCAAAGTCCCTGCATCCCTATCTCTCTCATAAAAACATCCAGAGTACCATCTCAAGTCCCCAAGATTCTTCACAGGTACCATGGTGTTGAGGTCCCTGCCAAACTGGTCACACCTCTCCTCTTGCAGGGATACAAGCCCGAAGCGGTGGGAGAGAGCGTCGCCGCTCCCGCCAGGTGACATCGACCGCTCGGCCCCCCCATCCTGAAAACGCACCCGCCGAACCTTCAACCTCCCTGGCACCCGCGTCTCTCGTCCCAAGTCCAGCTCTCGATTGGCCCTGGCAGAGAGGGGCGGCATTGACGACGCCCGCCCCCCCCCCTGGTCCTTAGCGGCTGCCCTCGTGCGCCCAGAAACCCTCATGTCGCCGCGCCCCACGTCCAGTTCACGGATGGTCCTCGTAGTGAGCGGCGGCATGTTGGTGGAAGGCGCGGCACCGGGCGGCACGGCGGCGGGAGACGGTATTACTGACGGTGCAGCGGCGGTGGTGAACGGTGAGGCCGGAGGCGAGGCGGCAGTGGTGAACGGTGTCGCGGCGGCGAACGGCGGTGCAGGCGGCGCGGTGGTGGTGAACAGTGGCGCGGCGGCGAGCGGCGTTGCAGGCGGCGCGGTGGTGGTGAACGGTGGCGCGGCGGCGAACGACGGTGCCGGCGGCGCGGTGATGGTGAAAGGTGGCGCGGCGGCGAACGGCAGTNGGTAAGAGAGGCGGTGAAATGTACTCAATTAGAAACGGTGCGGCGGCGACCTTCGAATCCCCCCCTTCGTCCGCCCGCGCCGGCAGCTCCAGCGGCGGGGTCAGCAACGGCGCGCGGTCGGAGACCCACACGACGTTGTTCGTCATGCACACGCGCCCCGTCGCGAACTTGAGGACCTTGACCGCCGACTCGTGATGGTTGTCGCCGTTGTTGAGGTAGCAGCACAGCACTGCCTGGGGATCCATCTTCCTCGCGCGCGTCACACGCATATACCCCGGCTGCAAGAACGGGACGATCTGGAGCGGCGGCGGGCGACCGGTGAAGAGCTCTTGCGGCGACTTGTACCCGGCGNCGGTGGCGGTGGTGTGGCTGCGGTAGACGGCGCCGCCGGCGATGGTGGTGGAAGTTGCCGGCGGCGCCTGTGAGAGTATGGCAGCGGGTGAAGTGGGAGGTCGGGCATACGGTGAGGGGGGTAAGAGAGGCGGTGAAATATACTCAATTAGAAACGGTGCGGCGGCGACATTCGAATCTCCCCCCTCGTCCGCCGGCGCCGGCAGCTCCAGCGGCGGGGTCAGCAACGGCGCGCGGTCGGAGACCCACACGACGTTGTTCGTCATGCACACGCGCCCCGTCGCGAACTTGAGGACCTTGACCGCCGACTCGTAATGGTTGTCGCCGTTGTTGAGGTAGCAGCACAGCACTGCCTGGGGATCCATCTTCCTCGCGCGCGTCACACGCATATACCCCGGCTGCAAGAACGGGACGATCTGGAGCGGTGGCGGGCGACCGGTGAAGAGCTCGTGCGGCGACTTGTACCCGACGTTTGCCTTGGTCGGAGAACGGTTGAAGCCGCCGGCAGCCCAGTGACACGATTCTAGCCAGAGTCGCTCGCCATCGCGCCCGAAGCCGGGGACGCGGGTGAAGTTGATCTTCGGGAACAGGCGGGGTGGGGTGCCTCGAGACGAGCGGCGTGGCCGGCCTTGTTCACGCGCCAGATCGCACTCTCCGCCGGACCATTCTGCTGCGGGGTGCCCGGCGCCGTGTACGTACGGCGGATGCCGGCGTTGTCACAGAAGGCGATGAAGTCGCGTCCGATGAACTCCCCCCCGTTGTCCATCCGGAAAGAGCGAGGGACACCGGTGCCACTCATGTCGGCGAGGAACTTCTTGACGAAGGCGAGGGTGTCCGACTTGCGCCTCATCCCGTACAGCTTCATCCACCGCGAGAAGCTGTCCACGAACATAATCATGAAAAACGAACCCCCCAGCGAGGCCGTCATCGGCCCACACAGATCGATGTGCCAAAGATCGTGCGGCCGCTCCGCGCGCGTGCCCAATTGGTGAGGCACGCCCGCCTTCTTCCCCTTCGCCTGCAGGCATCCACCACAAGCCTGCAGGACACCGGTCAGTCAGAGACCGTGCTGCTTCGCAAGCTCACGCAAAAGAAACTCATTGGCGTGGGAGGACGAAACATGGAGAAGGTTAACGTCAATAATCTTGGTGGGTTTCCCCACCGAAAAAGGGTGCTTGCCCGGGGCCAAAACGGGAACGGCGAAAGCAACATCATCGAAGACATTGGCAAATCCAGACTCAAACATCAAGTCTAAAAACTCGTAGGGGTCATCCGATTCTTGTCT